AACTCCCAGAATTCCCCAGCCAGCAAATGCTGGCTGGGGAATTCTGGGAGTTGAAGTCCAGACATCTTCAAGTGGCCAAGGTTGAGAAACACTGGTTTGATGCATTCTGTCGACTAGTTTATGAAGCCTTGTCTAGTGAAAGCTCATCCTCTTGGTTCGGTTGTTGCCGTTTCCTGCATGTTTGGGCTGCCTTTGGAAAGACCTCAGGGAGGAGACCTGGTTGAAACGAAGGCTCTGAACCATAGCGCTGGCCACCTATTTGGCTTGGGACCCACCCATGGGGTTGACCAGCGGAGACCTCCAAGGCCTCTTCCTCCACTTACCCACCATTTTAAGGTCCCGTCAAGGGCCGTGTTTGAAAAAAGCCCGGTGCAACTGCCTAGGATGGGCTTCTTGCTCTCTCTCTCACACACCTGTTTCCAGATGTGCATGTGCGTACAGAGAGACTCCACTACAAGCCCTAGCAGTTTCTGGGTGAGGCTTCTTCTGGAACGTTCCAGGGCAACATTAGGTAGCCTAAAACCATTTTTTCCATCTTCCAATGTGGTTATGGAATCTCATTCTCCCAGTAGCCTGAAATGGACTCAGAAAACAGAAAATACAAGACTTTACATGCTGGTCTTTTTTCTTTTCTTTTCTTTATCAAAAGCTGGTGTTTGAGGACCCATTTCAATTTCATTTCAATTGTTGCTCTGCTGATAAGAACCGGTGGTTTTTATCTGGCAGCAAATCCACAATGGCTTTGGGAGTTAATGATTTGCCAAACAGACCTACAGTAAATCTTTTTTTCCACCTATCCTTTGTCATGCTATGAAGTGGAAAGCAGCGGCAGCCATTTGCAAAGGGGGGGTGTTTTTTTTGGCTGGGTTTCTGTATTTTTGTATTCTCAGAAAATGGGCCCAGCAAATGCAGTGTAAAGTGCCTTTCTCCTCCCCGTCAACCCTCTTGACAACTCAAATGGTTCCCAGCCAGCTTGGCCTGTGAACCCAGTTCAGTTCTGTTGACATTCTGGCCAGAGAGGATGACGTTTGGAGCCACCTTCCCCTGAAGGGAGGGGATGGCTGGTGTGGAGCCTCGGCGGCTGACTCTTTCCGTCCAGCCCTGGGGAGATGATTAAAGAAGCCTGCAGTTCTTGGACCAAAGAATCACGGACCGTTCCTAATTTTGCCCCCATGCTGCCATATCCTGAACTGCTCCTGTGTACCTGTATGGCAGGCTGCTCAAAGCAGTTTTAAAAATCAAAGAAGAAACGACTTGGCTGGCAATGAAAAGTGTTTTTACACAGAATATTCAGGGCTTTAAGACATTCTTTATCTTTTTGCCGCTCATCCTGAACCTCTCTTGCCTTTTTGTGCCTTCAGGCCATCCGAGTGTTCTTCATGCTGCGTTCTCTGTCCCTGCACCTCCAGGATGAGCCAGAGACTCAGTTGCCTCTGACCAGGGAGGAAGACTTAATTAAGACAGACGACGTCCTTGATCTGAGTGAGTAGCCCCCCAGGAGGGAGGGAAGACAAGCTCAGCTTCCTGGGGAAAATAACAAAGGAAAGGCAATGGGTTCTCCATCCTTGTTTTGGTTCCGCCCGCTTTCAGGTGCTTGGCTTCCAAAATGCTGCCCCCCCACCCGCACACACACACACACACCTTGCTTGATTGATGGCCTTCTCTCAGTGCATAGTGGGGTCTCAGTTGGTCAGGAGGGAAAAAGATTTGGGTCCATCTGCAGCTGTTCCAGATGGTAACCATTGTTGCAGATCATATCTACGCAGCATCTGGAGGAGCAGCCGAGCTGAAGGAAGGCCATTTCGTCCCTTATGGCTCTGTGTGTGTGTCTCCTAATCCCCTCCCCCACAGGTTGTTTTTTGGTCTGGGAGAGGTGAAATCACTTGTGACAGTAACTCTAACTGGAAGTCCCAAAATAGCCCCATGGCCTTCTGGTAAATAACTCTTTACGATGAGGATAAATTGGGTGTGCTAGGAAGTGCAGGGCCCTTGTTTCCCTTTGGGTACAACCTCTATGAATAGAAAAATGTCAGTCACACTTACGGTAGTCATTATAAAAGAATTTATTTTACTGTAATGGGTATTTTAGGAAGTTGAACCCTGCATTGTTTGACCTGTCGAGCGAGGAAGCCCAGATGATTCCAAGCAGCCATCCAGTCCTTCTCTTCTTCCTCCTCCCCCCCGCCGAGTGCTTCCTCACCCAAAGTCCATAGAAAAGGCCATCTGGAGCCTGCGTCAGTGGCAGAGATCGAGGGAAAGAACTCCTGGACAAGCAGTGGCTGAGAGGAGAGGGGAAGGCCGGGCCAAATTGACGTGGTTGGCCGGGAGCATCTCTTCTGTCCCAGTCTTCTGTTCTGCTCAGCGGTCCCACTGCAAAGGGCTGGGAAACAGGATGGAAATAAGGGGAACGGGAACCCCTTGGGGGGAGGAGGAGGCCTAGGTGGAGGGCTGGGCTTCAGGCCAGATGATGCTCTCTGCCCTTGCGCTGGGAAAGGAGGAGGCTGCTCTGGGCTCCCACCTTCCCTTCCTGGGAGTTGTGGTTGTGAATTGCTCTGGACTCTGTCCCCTCGGGAAAAGGCTTCCCAGAGCAGAAATTAAATAAGCTTGCAAACTAACTGGATGTAATTACAATTATATCTGCCAACTCTTTTATATGGATGTGCTTGAAACAAATCAAATTACAATATTCCTGTTGGGTTTCAAAATGAAATATTGTTGTTTCTTGCATATTGATTTTTTGATTAGTACCTGCTTTGCCTTCCCTCCTCTTCTTTTTTTAATTTTTAGTAATGCCCATTGATGTGGTTTTAATATCTATTCCTGTAACCCTGACTCTGTTTCATAGAACAGTCACAATTGCGCTCTGGAGCATTAAAGCGCATTTTGCAATTCATTTTCCCAGTCTGCCTTGACCAAACATGCCATTCCCAACATTCCGATCACAGTTATTGCAAATTTTAAATAATACTAGTTATTTTTCCTGGAAGCCAAATTCTGTTCTGTGGAGATTAGTCATCTTCCGCCTCGACGAGACCTGTTAGTCTCTGTTAGTCTGTAGGTTCTCTCTGCGAGAGACTCACCCCTGGCACTTAGTGGGCCAGCCAGGCTGTCCAAACCATGCACCAGGCAGAAGCTGCAGTGGTGATGCTGCCCCATCTCAGCCGCTGATTGCAACCCCAGACTTCCCTTCCACCCGTGCCAAGCGCTAGTCCTGGCCCTTTGCTCTGGGTGATAACCATCGACTTTAAAGAGGCAGGCTGACGTCTCTCGTGCCCAACTTGCACTGAGCCTTTTCTGGTCTCCTTTGGGGCCTTCAGTCAAAAAGGGATCAAAACCTCCCAGTAAAAGTAGTTGGACGGGATCGCCTCGGTCATGGCTCTCCTTCCTGCTCTTCTTCCTTCAGATAACAGTGATCTGATTGCCTGCACCGTCATCACCAAGGACAGCGGTCAGGTCCAGAGGTTTCTGGCGGTGGATATTTACCAGATGAGTTTGGTGGAGCCAGATGTCGGGCGCTTAGGCTGGGGAGTCGTTAAATTTGCCGGCCTTCTCCAGGTGAGCATAAAACCTGGCGGAGGCTTCAGGTTTCGAGCTGCGGGTCCTGGCAAGCGGAGCCTGCAGCCGCTTTATAGCAAAGCCTTCCTTGGCCACTGGTGGTGAGCAACTCCCCCCTCCCCTGCCCAGAGGAGCCAGTCTGCTGCCCAGAAAAGCCACCGGACTCTCAGGGGCTTCCCAAGGGTGAAGGTGCCGAGGCTACTCCGGAGTTTTTCAGGCAAGAGGGATGTTTTCAGAGATGTTTTCTCCTTCACCGTGTTCCTCACTAAGCCAGGTGGCTTACCTTTTTTGGGTCGAGAGCCGAGGTGGCGCAGTGGTTAGGGTGCAGTATTGCAGGCCACTTCAGCTGACTGTTATCTGCAGTTC